CATACCAGTCAGAGAAAACTGATAACCAAATGAGACTTAAAAGAGTTATGAAATGTAATGTTTGTTTGCCTGAAGGGCATAATTAATTTTTTGTTAACTTGATCCATTTTAAAATCCAGTGTCAAGGACATATTAATGTCTATGGACTGCATGATGACAAAGACAAATTTTCTTTATACAGAACAACCATGAACATTTCTGGGATGGAGCTAATTCCTGGCATGACTTCAAATGGTACCTTCACAATCAATCATATCATTTCAAGCACTATTCTGTTTAGCCTTTTCCTTCCAGAAGTGTTAAAAAGAAAATATCCCATAGGAAAAAAGCTCAAATTGGGCCTTTTTCACAAATTTCTATCTTTAAGAGATATAAAAAGTAAAATCACATTTCACAGCAACAACAAAAAAGGGTAGTGGAATTATGTATGCAGTTTTTACCCCAATGACTCTCATCACGCCTTCAATAGCTGCGAAGATAAAGTAAAGAAGCCCCAGTCCAATCACTCGGTGCATGACTGTTCCTAACCGAGGCCTGGAACGAGGAAGAAGAAACAGAAAAAAAGAAAAAGAAAAAGCATGGGTAAGTACATTGCATCTGAATACAGTAACTGGTGCTATTTCCAACACCAGAGAAGTCATTATCTAATCAAATCAGTCTGCTCTTGCCCATGAGGTACTTTATTTTAGAAAAGAGTGATTATTTCCTATAATCTATAATACTTTGTTTTAGGAAATAGTGATTACTTCCTATAAAATATCAGAAACAGACCCGGAAAAAAAGGGTCTCTCCCTCTAGGACCTGAAGCTGTACTGATGTCCATGAAGCAGCATTTTGAGGTCACAAAGGTGCCACAGGAGTTTGCTGCTAAAATCCAAGCAATATAATAAACATAATACAGGTAGTATTTCTATAGAATGGAAGAGTAGGTTGATGAAACCTAGGAAAGTAAGTGCCCACTTCTGTGTGCCACTGGCAGAGATTATAATTTCATTCTTTCACTAACGTTAATTGCAAACCATTCTAAGATATGTCTTGATAGAGACAATCCACTTGCCTTATGACAAGGACAGAGAAAGAGCAGGATATTTGGAGATGGAACTCCACTACATCTCTTCTGCCTCTTACTGGCAGAACTGCCTCTCAATAACCAGAACAAGAATGCTAATAGAATTTCATTTTCATTCTTTAAACTTGAAAGAGTTAAAATAACATTTTTGACTCTTTAAAAATATGAATGAGAAGTATCTCAAGAATGGAAAAAGAAATACCACATGTACTCTCTAATAAATTGGAACTAATTAATGGGCACACAAGTGCACAGAGGGAAGTAAAAGTCATAGGAAATCAAGGAGGAGGGAGGCAAAGGGGAGGGGCAAAAATCCATCTAACGAGTACAATGAACACTATTCAGGTGATTAGCACATTTACAGCCCTGACTCAAGCCACGTATTAAAAACATTTGTACTCCTTTAATATTTTGAAATTAAAAAAATGAAAAATAATAATAAAAATATAAATGAGTTGGGAAAATGCAAGATTTCACAATTTGAAAACTGAATAAAAATTTCATGACATTTGCAAATCAAAATTTATTGCACATACATTTTAGGATACTCAAAAATCCTCAGAGTAATTAGAAAAAAACCTGGTTCTGAAAAAATATTTAAGATGGTCATTTTAAAACAAAATCTAAGTAAAAATTAAACTAATGGCATAGCTCATATTTAAGACTATTTACATAACTTAATGAATCTAAATTTTGATTCATTATAACCAGCTAACCAGAACCTCCAAATGGCCAGAATTATTACTACTCTCACTTCATAAGAGTTGAACAAGCTATTGGTAACAGTGAACGGATTCATTCAAAAAGGGCTTGTGCCCTTATACCCATTAGCTCAATTTCCAATTCCCTTCCCAGTAACAACACTGCACCCATGGGTGCCTGATGTTCGTAACTAGAACTGTAAGGTACAAGATCCCCCAGCGAGAAGTCTCCATGCTCTCTACACTGTACTAAGACCACAAAAAGCATTTGAGGAATCTCAATAGAAGTCCAATGAAAAAAGGTTTCTTGGCTAAAATCCTACTAACTACACCAGCCCCGAGCTCACAAACGTACACGCAAGCATTCGATGCACATTCACTGAGGGCCTGCCACGTGTGGGGACTGCACTGGGGCCCCGTGGTCAAGACACAAAAAGCAAAGGCCCTACTCCCTGGGACTCACATCGAGTAGGGGGGACAGACAATAAATACTGACATATTCATCAAGTGGCCTTATAAAAAGGATGAGGGGACAGGGTGGCAGATGACATGTGCTGTTAGGAATCCTGACAGGGCCATCCTCCCTTGGAGGTGGCAGTGGGACAGAGACCAGAGAGAAGTGAGGAAGTAGACCGTGCCCAGGATCCGGGGAGAGGCTCACAGGCAGAGGCATTTACGGCACCGTGCAGGAGCGTCTGCTGTGTCTGAGGAACAGAGACAACAAGAAAGCCAGCCAGCAGGACGGAGCAGAGTGTTCAAAAGGGAGAGGGGCGGAGATGAGGTCAGAGAAACAGATGGGTGCCACTTTGGAAATGCCACAGAAGGGAATGTGGATTTTACTGAGTAAAAGCAGGAGTGAATTAACAAGATCTGAGGTACATTTTAAAAGGATCATCTTGGCTACTGCTGTACTGCAGGAAGAATGACAAGGGCAGAAGCAGGGAAACTAGTGAGGGGCCTACGGATGTGGCCCAGGAAGGAGACACGGTGGTGTGACCAGCATGACAGCCACAGAAGGGAAGGGAAGGGCGGCTCATTCTGGATGTGCTCTGAAGTGAGAGCTACAGAACTGGATGAGAGGCCCCGGGGTGCAGGCCATCGGGCAGAGGTCTGAGGCACTGCCATGCTGGAGCTCAGGGACACGAGGAAGGTCCGGCAGAGATCAGGAAGGAGCAGCTGAAGATATGAGGGGACAGAAGATGAACTCTTGGATACCAAGCAGCTCCAGGTCACCTCAACTGAAGCTGCCCACAGGGCCACTGCAGCAGGGCGGGGTAGGGCCACGTGACCTGGCAGGGGAAGGCCATGTGACTTGACAAGAGCAGTCTCAATAGAGCAATGAGGTAAACCCTTACCAGGGTGTTTTCAAAAGAGAATGAAGGAGGTTGAGGTGGCAAGTGCAGACAACTCGCTAGAAAAGTTAAGCTGCACAGAATGAAGATAAACGAGGTAGAAACAGAGAGGGCCATGTGGAGCCGATGGAGAGCTCTGCCTTTAAAGATGATGGAAATAACAAAATGCTGATGGGAGTGACCCACGAAAGAGAAAAACTGACAATGCAGGAGAAAACAGAACCGACTGCTGGAGCAGTTTCTCTAACAGACAAGCAGGCACAGGGCAGGGACAGCGTTGTGTACCGTCCAGATGTAGGGAGAATAACAGCACCTGAGGACAGGAACCCGCTCCTGAGGGCTTCTACGTCCTCAGTAAGAAAGGATCCAAGGTCAGCTGAGAGGGATGGGAGTGGGGTATGGGAGGTTTGAGGAGAGAGAAGGGATGAATGGTCATCTGCAGAGATGGGTGTGAGAAAAGCCAAGCGGCCAGGGAATCTAGTACAATAGCCAGCAGCACTAAGGTCACACCTGAAGTTCAGGGTCATGAATTGAAAGCAAGCCTGGGCGGTGTGGCCCACTGTTCGTTTTGGGCAAATTCCCCTGCTTGGGTGTGAGCCTGCAGCAGATGGAAAGCTGGATTTATCCAGGCTGGAGTTTTGTCAAGAAGCCTGACAAAGGGCAAGGCAGGAGGCTTCAGGTGTCAGTGCCCTGCTGGACCAAGGACTCTAAGCTAACGGCAGAAGGAGAGGACACAAGATGGGGAGGGACAGTGGAACGTGCTAGGGTTTAAAGGCCAGAGGCTATACTAGAATCAAAAATGAAACTGACATATTAAACAGGAAACAGAGGAGGTGACAGCTGAAAAATGGATTGCTTAAAACTGAGGTTATGTAGAGGGTACAGTTATATGCAATAATCGGGTTTAGAAAATGACCATGGGACTCAGTAGCTGAAATGAGGTGAATGGCAAGAGTAGGAAAGGTGAGAAGGTGAGATCAGGTTACTAGAAGGGCACACACGGCTGCTGACATCACAGGGAATCCCGACGTCAAGGGGGAAGACAGTGAAGCACGTACTCACAGAGTTAAGGGACGAGGAAGAAATCTGAAAACTCATGGGTGAGTGCTGTAAGATGCACAAGGCGATCCAGTCTGAAGACTTGAGCTTTTGGGAATCAGAGGTTTTAGGGAAGAAGGAAGAACAAAGATTTAAAAAAAAAAAAAAGCAATGAGGATAAAGAGGACACATTCTCTCATACTCACGCCCAGTGAGTCACAGGTGTGAGGAGGAAGAGACCTGCCCAGAAGAAGTAGGGCCCTCAGGGACAGGCAGGTGCCAGTCAGAAATGGTGCTGACTTGGTGTTTCATCCACTCTCCCTCACAACACTCAAATATGATCAAAAAAACCTTAACTGTATGTCTAGAAAACAGAAAATGATTTGAACTTCAAGAATCATTTTACATTTTCATTATCCTTAAAGTTGATTATTCATTTAACTATAAAAAGTTGCTGGAATTCAAATTCAGGGTCTTTATTTGAAGATAACATAAAATAGCCAGTATGTGAAAATCTTTTAACATCTTCTTATATATTTTTCCCTAAGGGACTTGCATTATGATACTGAGAAGTTTCCATTTTCACAAACTCATAATGTATTAACAGATGGACTGAATTGCTGGACTGGAAACTCAGGACTTTTCGACACCATCGGTACTTACTTTACGATGCCATAACCCAAGCTCACGATGATCACGAGGAGGCGAGCCAACGTCCTCTTAATTGCAGATATCAACTCTGCAAATATCAATAAACTTTGGGCTAAGGAGGAAAAAGAAAATACTTCATTTTGTGCACATCTGGAAGCTAGCTGACCAAGATTCTAAACAGGAACTGTGTACAACTACAATCTGACCTCAGACTAATTGGCCATATTTGATTTAAAAGTCATCTAATCCAACTGATGTTTTAAAACCTCAGTGAAGAGGAATTCACTACCTCCTGATGAATTCAGTCCATATCTATCTGATCAACTCTACTGGGCATAGTTTTCTTATATCAATCTGAAACCTGTCTCCCTGAGCTTCCCTCTGTTCTTGTTCCTCCCCCTACCGAGAATGCTCTCTCCCCTTGTCCTGTGAAAAACTTAACATCCTCTAGAGTTCTCTTTTCTGCAGGATGCCCTCATCATTTATTCACTTAAAATGTATCTGTTATGCTCCAACTGTGTGGCTGTAACAGTAAAAGAGACACCTTGATCCCTGCCTCATGGAGCTTGTACTCTGGTTAGGCCAAGTACATAGAATTTAGCACAGTTAATGGAATTTAAGTGCTAGAGGTAACATAGTATCCCAGGGACTAAGAAGAAGGCCAATCTCATTTACACTTGAAGGAGGCAGAAGTGGGTCCAGAAAAGCTCAGAAAAAGTGACACCTAATCAGGACTTGAAGGCTAAGTAGGAGTTAAGTATCTGAGGGGGTGGAAGGGAAAAGCAAAGAAAATTGCACATGCAAAGGCATGGAGGAGACAAGAGGAGAAGCAAAATATGTTGCAAGAGGTAAAAGTTCAGTATGTCTGCAGCAGAGGGTATGATGGCAGACGTAAGGCAAGAGGCTAGTGCTAAATGCAGGGACCAATCTTGGGGTTGGGGGCCCTGTTATGGAGTCTGGACTTGATGCCAAGGGCAGTGGGAAGTCAATCACGGTAAACAGTGCAGTAAAAGAGGAGTTGGTAAACTACAACCCGTGGGCCAAGTCTGGCCCTACATCTGTTTTGGGAAAAGAGTTCTATTGGAACACAGCCATGTCCACTTGCTCACATTTTGCCTGTAGCTGCTTTTATGCTGCAATGGCAGAGCCGAGTAGTTACAACAGAGACCACGTGGCCTGCAAAGCCAACATTTACCACACAGCCTTTACAAAAAAAGTCTGCTGACTGCTGGAATAAAATGGATGGCTTTATTTTATCAGGATTGCTCTACCTATGATGGCTTAGAGAGGAATAAGACTGCAGGCAAGGAAAATGCTCAGGAAGCTATTCCAGAAATCTAGGTAAGAGATGATCAGAGCACAGAAAACAGATATGGTAACGAAACCAGTTGTGAATCCACCTAATGTTTTCAGTTCACATTGTTTTCAGCTCCATCTTTTCTGCAAGAAATCACGAGATCTTGTCAAATGCCTTAAGGATAGATCTAGAACTAGAGGAAGAGGAAGAGGGCAAGAAGAGTGGCCAGAGGATTATGGCAGTGCCATCCAGGGAGAGGAACACCTAGCAGAGTAGCAAGCTTGGGGAAGGATGAGTCCCATTTCTGCCTTAGGGCGGTTGAGAAGCCTGCGAGGTATTCAGATGTTTAGTAGGTGACTCCACAGAAAATAAAGCTTTAGGAGGAAAACAATAGATGGGTTCTCCAAGAGACAGTAGAGAATGTGAAGAAAGGGTTTCAGATCACAGATGTTTAAGGATGGGAGTGTTTTCAATCCCTCCATTAGCTGCTCAGTATGGACTGTCTATATCCCTCTTGAAGCAATGTGAATACAACCTTTCTGGCAAAGCGTGATCTGCAAAGCAAGATTCTCAACTCCTTCGCGGCTCCTGCTTCTGCTGCAATCCAAGGTTGTGGGACCTTGTGAGAGGCAACCACCCTATAATTGCCTATGTGCTGAGTTCACTTTTCATCGGCTTCAACTTCTAAATTCTTTTCAAAACTTTCCCTTTTATGTTTTTAAAGCACTTTGTATTTCAACCCCAAGTTCAAGATCTTATGCATTAAATTGCACCCATTGATTTCTGTTCACGATGTCAAATCTCTTTGCCTCCCATCATGTATCTTCAGGGGAAAAAAAGGTCCATCTAAAATGATTCTCTATGCCCCTAAGTATTTACAACTCCTAACAGCCTCACGTCACCTATAAAATTTTAAAGAATGCTCTCCACAAACATATAGTGGCACAATAAATGTTAGTTGAACAAACCAACAAGTTTCACAACAAGAATAAAATGGCAATGAGGTCTAAAAATCTGTGATACAGACACCATTGAAAATTTCCTTCTAGCCCAATGGCTCTCAATCCTAGTCACACATCAGAATCACCTGGGAAGTATCTAAACAGACCTGATTCCTAGGCCTACCCCAATCAGAATCTCTGGCACCATTTTTAAGTTCTTCAAGTGATGCTACTGTGCAACCAGGGATGAGAACCATTGCTCCAGACCTGTGCTGTCCAACAGAACTTTCGGTGATGATGGAAACAGTCTACATCTGTGTTCAAAACAGTAACCCCTGGTCACCTGTGGCTACTGAGTATTTGAGATGCAGCTAGTACAACTGAGGAATTGAATTTCTAATTTTATTTAATTTTACTTAATTTAAATAGCCAGATGTGGCTTGTGGCTACCATACAGGACAGCTCTAGACTGACAAGACTGAAAAGAAGAGACCTGCATGAACTCTTTAGATATGCTTGCATGCCAGTTTTCAGCTCATATTTCTCCAAGTATGAGCTTCTCCAAATCACAAGAGACTTTGTCAAATGCCTTTAAGAAGTCCAGGTATACTAAGTTTACTACATCTTCCTAACTGCCAATCCAGCAGCCCAGAAGAAAGAAATAGGTCTGACATCATCTATTCTTAATGTACCCATGTTAAGTCCTAAAATCACTGCTTCTCATCCCTTTAATGATTTTCCTAAATTCAATCCTTCCAGAACCAATGCTGAGCTAGAGAGCTCATGTCACAGAATTCCCACTCGGGAAGATCGGCAAGGCCATCAGCTCATGCCCAGTCTTCGAGCACCTCTCCCATTGGAAAGGACTCCTCAAAGACACTGGGAGTGGCCCAGGTATCTCTTCCAAGCCTTCTAGTGCCATCAGACAGGGGGCTTGGATTCCCTGGAGGATGGCAAATTGCCTGTCATGTCTTCACGGATCTCAGGTTTTTGCTGCTCCTCACCAAAGTTCATGCCACCCTTACCCTCACTAGATAAGAGATCACTACCACTAACAGCAAAGGAGCCAACTGTCTTCTCTGACTTCCAAGAATGCTTCAGTCCTAAGCAGCAGACCTACCCTTCCTTCATTATCTGGTTTCTAGTATTTGCATGCACGCATAAAAACTATAAAAAATTCTTACAGTGTAATATATTATTAATGCATTAAAATCAATATGTATCCCTGGATGTTTACCTTTTCTTTATTCTTTGGTACATGTCCTTTTAAACTTTTTATCTTGGGAAATTTCAAATATTCCCTAACAGAGAAAGCAGTATAATGAACTTCCATGCATCTATCACTCAGCTTCAATAATTATCGACATTATGCCAGATTTGTTTCTATATTGCAATTCACTTTTTTTTCTGGAATAACTTAAAATAACTAGCAGACACAACCATGCCCTTTGAAAATCTGTGCCGAGATCATTTGTAACTATTAACTCAGATATACACTCTTGAGCACTTTCAACCCTTTTGAGCTATCTCCCTTTCCAAAAGTTCAGTGGTGGAATTGTACCTTTACTTCTCTGGCCTTCGTGAAATCTACCTTCTAGAAGCCTAGGTCACATCTGAGGATGCCCAACTCTATGCCCTCCCTGCTTCATACATTCCATTGCACAAACTGTGATGGTGCCTCCACCAGTGATATGAAGATCTTTGCAAGATGGAAGAGGTGGGGAGAACGCAAGAAGGCTGTAGGCACCATCCATTCCAGCATCACTGGCTTTACTCCCTGTGACCAAATTTCCTTTCTTTTCTTTTTAGGAGAAGGGAAAAGAAGATGGGGGGAGAAAAGGAGAAATATGATAAAAGGATTATAGTCCCCATATCCAGAACTTTGTGTTGTTTTAAGCCAAGCTGAACCTCAGGGATGGGAATTTTCCTTTTCCCAGGAGGAAAGTGAGGAGAAAGTTAGCAAGAAGGAAAATAGAAAATGAAGAGAACACACATGCTAGCCCAGATCAGAGTCCTACTCTGACATTCTCTTCTTGGCTTCCCTCCTCTTCATCCATAATATGGCTATTTCCAAACCACTGTACAGAGGGGTGCGGCCTCCCACAGCTCTCATCACAGTGCTAGGAAACTCTGAGGTCATACTAAAATTTACGGAGACAGCCAGAACTTACTCGACAGTCCAGTGCTGTTGATGTTTTGGTATTCAGAATAAAAAACTGCTTTTTCAAGCATTCCTAGGAAAATAACAGCTGCGATCCAGAACTGGATTCTTAATATATCTTTCCAGTAACAGGCAGACCACATCAGCCAGAGTATGCCATATAATATATAAACAATACACATCACCATGTAAAACTGTAGGAAGAGAAGCAGTTTTAGTCAGTTAAGCCTTTTGATCATTTGAAAGTTGGCACTTCTACATTCAAGTGTCCAATCTTTCATTTTCCAGTCACTCTGGAACCAGAAATACAGGATATGTCAAAGCATTAGCTACTAAGGGCCAGTTGGTGGCTACTAATTAGCCACTAAGCTCTTATTTATAAAACTTTTAAATTTTCCAATTAGGATACAAAATTCATTTTTAAAAAAGGAAAAAATGAGGAGAAATACTCACAATCATTAGAGGCCAATCTGATGCAGAGATATATCCATGAGGCCCAATCATAGAAAGAGAAACTGGTAACATTGACAGTAGGGACAGAGAAGAAGAAAGGAAAGAGTTAAATTAACAGTCTTTTCTTAAGTCTTTAAAATGTAAGCTCATTTCCCAGAAGGCTTCAAGAATACAAACCACACAAACAAATGCTGAATTTTTACCTAGCACACACAAAGTATTAGATAATTAGCAATTGTTTATTATGCAATCCTATAAAGATATTTTTTACTGTAAAGATCAGAAACTCTAAAACTACTAGAAGAAAACATAGGGGAAAAACTATATAACATTGGTCTCAGCAATAATTTTTTGGATTTGACCCCAAAAGCACAGGCAACAAAAGCAAAAATAGACAGACGGGACGACATCAAACTAAAAAGCTTTTACACAGCAAAGGAAACAATTAATGGCATACACAAATAACCTACAGGTTGGGAGTTAATATCTGCAAGTCCTACATCCAATAAGGAGTTAATGTCCAAAATATATAAGGAATTCAAACAACTCAATATCAAAAAAACAAAAAACCCAATTAAAAAATGAGTACAGGACTTGCAAAGACATTTCTCAAAACAAGACATACAAATGGTCGGCAGATATAAAAAATGCTCAACATCACTAATCATTAAGGAAATGCAAATTGAAACCACAGTGAGATAACATCTCACACCTGTCAGAATGGCTCTCATCAAAAAGATGAAAGATTACAAGTGTTGGGGAGCATGTGGAGAAAAGAGAACTTGCACACTGTTGGTAGAAATGTAAATGAGTACAGCCATTATGGAAAACAGTATGGAAGATCCTCAAAAAACTAAAAATAGAAATATCGTATGAGCCAGCAATCCCACCTCTGGATATTTACCCAAAAGATTTGAAATCAGTTTGTTGAAGAGATGTCTGCACCCCCATGTTAATTGCAGCACTATTCATAATAGCCAAGTTATGGAATCAACCTAAGCCTCCATCAACAGATGAACGGATAAAGAAAATGTGGTGTGTATACACAGTGGAATACTATTCAGCCTTTTAAAAGGAGGAAATGCTGTCATTTCCAACAACACGGATGGAACTGGAAAACATTATGTGTGCTAAGTGAAATGAGTCAGGCACAGAAAGACAAATACCACACATTCTCACTTATAGGCAGAATTGAAAACAACTGAACTCATAGATGGAGAGAGCAGAATGGTGGTTACAGAGGCTGGAGCGGGGGAGGCATGGGGATAATGGTCAAAGGGTAAAAAACAAAAAACAATCTCAGAAGCCAAGCGTGGTGGCATGTACCTGTAATAATGGCTACTCAGGAGGAAGGATTACTTGAGCCCAGAAGTTTGAGTACAGCCTGGGCAACAAAGCCAGACCCTGTCTTAATGAATAAATAATTAATGAATAAATAAATCAGTAAGTAATTTAATAAGCAAGCAAGTGGACACTTGGGCCCTCATCAGACACTGAACCTGCTGGTGCCTCGATTTTGAACTTCTCAGCCTCCAGAACTGTGAGGAAATAAATTTCTGTTCTTCATAAATTACCCAGTATCAGGTTATTTTGTTATAGCAGCATCAACGTGCTAAGACAGCTAGGTAGCAGAATGGCATGAAGGTCCCTGCTCCCTTTATTTGGCATGGTCTGGACTATGCATGATGCCATCTCCAGGAGGAAGCCCTACTTCACATTGTTCCAGAGCCACCAGCACCAGTTTCCCTCCATGGCGAGGGCACTACACCAGCTCTGTGCCTCCTCTGCAGCAATGCCTATCTGGCCTCATTGGTTTCTGCGTCCTCCTCCAATGGACTGGGCGCTCTTCAGAGACAAGCTTGGCTTCACCTCTGTATCCCCAGCGGATGAGTGAGAGCAACAAGCAAACCCCTAGGACCTTTACGTGCTGTTTGGCTACTGCTGGCCCAGCAGAATCCCACTCTGGAAAACATCAGCCAAAGTAATTCTTGAATATGTGACAGCAATCATTGCCTTAAGAATTGCTTATTGTGAGCCCACTCTTGTGGCACTAAGAAACTACAGCTGAATGAGGCACAGAAGGTCTATCTCACAGGGGTGGGGGATACCTCACAGACTGTGGAAGCCACAGGTGGCAGACATGCTACTTCTACTCCTAGACTAGACAGATC